TTTAATATAACATCTTTATATCTTTCTATGATTTTAAGCTGATATTTTATTGATTATATTATTTATATTTATATCATTTATACGATATTCGAATGTTTGTTTTTAGATATTTCATCTAGCTATCTTCCAAATATTGGCCTTTTATATTAAAAAATTTTGACCAGTGTAAATGTTAGTAAAATAAAATAAAAAATTAATTAAAGAACGTAAATATTTCTTATCACAACAGTTAAATAGAAACGAGATCTTTACAAAATATTATGAATTAGAAAACTCTAAGCTTACCGAATTAGAAACTCAAATTGAATCACTAATTTCCAAAGTTAACTGATTAAAAAATGATAAAATTTTATATCAAACTAAAAATAATAAACTTACAACACATTGCCAGCAGATATGACGACTCAACAAATAACCTACCAGAACAAATAACTAAAAAAACAAGTAACCAGCCATTACCATTTATCGATGTGGGGTTAGAGAATCGAGCAGCAAGTGACGAGGAGGAATCAAGTGATTCAACATGGTTGCCTGTTGAATTCTTAGAACCAAGCACCGAAGAAAGTTCTGAAGAGAGTTCAGACGAACATAAAAAAAGAAAAGGAGGAATAATATTCGAAAACTATACAGTAAGAATAAAATTTTGAACTATGTTTATTTGTACTAGTTTTATTTTCCGATGGCCTCTAGTTGCCGTCGGAGAACAAAATATAAAAGGTAGTTTTATATTATGAATGTGGGCAAAATTAAAGCTTAATTTGGGTCCGTTGACTATTCTGGCTAGTTCGTAGATAAATAAATTTATTTGAATTTTTTTATTTCATTAAAATTAAATTAAATCAAAGAAATACAAATTTTTAAGGAGCCGATAAATAAATATGTAAATTTCTTTGCAATTATATTTTCTCTATTTAATAAGAAGTTTGCTATTTATCACCACTAGTGATCATCACCAGTGTTGCTATATCTCAAAAACCTACTAAGTAAATGGGATCGGGTACTCTAAGTAAAAATATTCAGAACCTCTGAAAACCTCACGAGAACTAAAATCGGGGAGTCAGCCCCAAAGTGCTGTTACACGAGCCGCAGCCGAAGCTAAATAATTTTAGCCAATCATGTTGCATTGTACAAATGATAATCTGATAACGATTTTTTAAAAAATTTTCGTTAGATATTAACGTTAATGACACGTCAAGTTTTCTAATCGAGATTTGGAAGAATACTTATACTAGCTAAGGAATCAATTTAAATTATAGTTATTTTACTTAGTTGAAGTATTAATATTATGTCATTGAAGTTTTATTATTAAATTAGGTTTTTAAATTACATTGAAACCGAGACGAATTAGACGCAGATCTAAGACTACTAATAAACATTCTACAAGTTGATTTTTATTATTCTACACTATAATTCTTATCAATTTTTACGTTTTCCGGCTTCTCTGAATATGACAAGTACATAAGGTATGGTTTTTTTGTATTTTCAGGTGCCCAAGTCACTTTTCTATATCTTCGCTTTTCTGCATTTCGAATATCTTTCTCCATTGGCACTATGTGACTCCATTTCATCATAGCACTAACTAATTGCCAATTATTAGCAGATTTCTCTGAGCAGATCTGCTTGAATGCCTGTGTAAATAATTTCCAATTTGATTCGACATAAGAGCGAGCCTCTTCATATGGATCTTTATCAACATCAACATCGTAATTATCAGACGGGTTATCGATAATAGTTTCTATGTTGTGAGTTTTAACATCAACATCGTAATTATCAGACGGGTTATTGATAATAGTTTCTATGTTGTGAGTTTCAACATCTTGAGTAATGGCCTGTGTCTCCAGTGATCTAAAATCATTATTCTTATTTTTTAAAACAAGAAATGGTGGCACTGTGTGATGCTTAAATCCATTCTTAAGTAAATGTAATCTTTTTCCATCAGGTGTATTTGTGGTCTGTCTAACCAAATACTTATATAACAAAAAACGATTTCTAAAAAACGCAGGGCAGCTGCAAACCCAGCGGGTAACCTCTGTAAAATACGAGCCATTTGAATCTGTCATTTCTATGTCAATACTTCGTTTTCTCTTATCTATAAGTAGGCAAAATTCAATTTGGTTAGTTTAATTCAAAAATTATGATTTAAAATGTCTTGGCATATGC